GGTGGTGGTGGAGGTGGTGGTGGCGGTGGTGGTGGCTAATTTTCTATCCTAACAACATTCAGCTTCGAGGTCAAGGACGACGGCATTTTTGGAAAGAAATTTCGAATTTTGGAGAAGAAGCTTGCTTTCGGAAAAATGTTCCTTTCACGCAAGGCAGCATGCCAGGTCAGGCGTGTGAACCAGGTGAACTGTGTCGGCAGATCGACGTTTACTTTCCAGGCCGACAGTTTTTTGACCAAGCCGTGAATCGCCCTCGCTCTGACTCCCCGGCTACAAAGGAGTAATTTTACAACTCTTCAGGCCAGCTACAGGTCTCTGATGCAGAGCTGCAAGTGACGGATATCGGTCATTTGCAGCCACTACTAAGAGCCTCCTGGTCGTTGCAATCTGATTGGAAAGGCTTTCTGTCTAAAGCCTTTCCATACTGGTGCTCGATGTTTTCAGTTTGGGGACACCAAAATTAGTGTACCGCTAAAGACACGTGGTCGACACGTTGTTGGCACGTTGTTGACACTTTGTTGACACGTGACCCAATTACCGGCCTACCAAGTGCCTTTGGCGACCGCTAACAGCAACTGTGGAACAGTGCAGTGCCCTTTTTTGGAGCAACGTACGAGTAGTGCCCGTGGATTATGACCCCGCGACCCCAATCTACGTGGCGGTCCGCAATTCGCTACTTCATACTGACTGGCGTCCGGCATCGTCCCGAATTTGGCCGCAATGTGCTCTCGGGACCCCTATAGGGCTCCCTGACCTGCTCCATCTCCGCCATCGTCAATGTACTGCGCATCCACCCAGGCCAGGACTGCCCAGTCTGCACTTACTTACGGGAAGGAGTATTTGCAAGATGGAATCTGGGAACTGGAAGACGACGAAGAAGAAGCGTGGGAATCCGGCGGCAATGGCTGGGATGTAAGTCCAACATTGCTGGTGCTAGAGTTGTCACTGCTTGCTTTAATATAAGGGAATCATGTGTGTTGCCTTTTGCCTTTTCCGACGTCCTCCTCCGACTGTACTCCCGATCCCAGGACTGAACTTACGGGAAGGAGTGCTTCCAAGATGGAAGACCAAGAAGAAGAAGCCGCTGAATCCGGCGGCAATGGCTGGGGTGTAAGTCCAACATTTCTGGTGCTAGAGTTGCCACTGCTTGTTTATAAGGGATTCATGTGTGTTGCCCTTTTTGCCTTCTCCCATGTTCTCCTCCGACTGTACTGGTGAACGCTGTGACATATGTTGCCCTTTCCAGGCAGTAGAAGGGAGGGGCGGGGGGGGGGGGGCAGTACATCCTGGCATCCAGGAATGCTAGGTGGAACTAGGCAATCTGACCTTTCCTCTTACTCCAATAATGGTATGGATGGGGAGTTCTTGAACATCCTCAGTCTTGTTAGAGTGAACTGTGCAACTCGACAATCGGTGATAGCAGAGGACCAATGCCGATGGCGATGCTCCTTCCTTTTTCTCTGTCACAGGCTGCGGTCTCGAGAAGAAGCGTTATTTCTGCATTCCAAGAAGGACGGCACAATGGTGAGTGGAACTTCGTGGGTGTGCAGCCTTGCTAGTTGAATTGTAAATCAACCATTCTTCCTGTCTCTGACTTCTTCAATGTCCTCCTCAGTGTCGGACTGTCCGCGTCGCATTGAACTGGTCCGATGAGGCTGCTATTGCACACACAGTGAGGGAACTCCCATACGGGAACTCGGAAGTACTGCTACAGTACAGGCAAGAGTACTGGGGGGTTATGTACTCTTGGTACAGGTAAGGTGGTCATTGCTTATGTGGGTGCGCCGTTGTTGTCAACTTTTAAGCCAGATGTACTCCGACCTACATGGAGTCTGAAAGTAGTCAGCTGGCGAACTACAATTGAAGTTTAGACGTTATATGCCGCGGCTTGGTCAGCTTTTTCAGTTTCACAATGCATTGCACTCAGCACCGCTTCTCGGAATATCTTGTCAGGATAGCTGTGGAACGCATCCTCCCCAGTGGCGGAACGGCAAAGTGCTGTTGATTTTTAGGCTTGCTTTTATGGTACGTACAAATCCCCATTGAAAAGACATAGTGGAGACCAGAAACTGCAAATAGATGTTGGGAACCGCGAAGACCACCCTTCCTCGTCAAGTTCCCTGAGGATGTGGAGGGGGGGGGGGAGCGGAGGAGGGACATTCCTGCACTGCTTAAAGTAGGATTCACAGGAGCATTTTCAGAAATTGCTTGTACATTTGTACCAGTTGTAGCCGACAAACGCATTCTCATTGAGCTTTGACTTGAGGCACGTCAGCAAGGCACTGTTGCATCGCTGACGTCTTGTCGTGATTCTGTGAATGGTATTTTGTGCGAGTTTGCATCGCACGCAGAATCGCAGGTCGTGTCGCATTGCGCAGCACACTGCCAAATTGCTTCTGTGAATCCCACGTGAATGGGAATTCCAATGGGAATGTAATCCATTGCCAACAGGTGTATTCCCGAGCTGCGCATCATACTGCAAAATTGCTCCTGTGCATGCGAGTTTGCGTCGCACGCAGAATCGCAGGTCGTGTTGCATTGCGCAGCACACTGTCAAATTGCTTCTGTGAATCCCACGTGAATGGGAATTCCAATGGGAATGTAATCCATTGCCAACAGGTGTATTCCCGAGCTGCGCATCATACTGCAAAATTGCTCCTGTGCATGCGAGTTTGCATCGCACGCAGAATCGCAGGTCGTGTCGCATTGCGCAGCACACTGCCAAATTGCTTCTGTGAATCCCACGTGAATGGGAATTCCAATGGGAATGTAATCCATTGCCAACAGGTGTATTCCCGAGCTGCGCATCATACTGCAAATTGCTCCTGTGCATGCAAATGGATTTCATTGCTCTTCTGTAGTTTGGGAAATTCTCGATTATGATAATTCTGCGTGTGTGTGTACACCAGCCCTGAACATACATGTAGGTGACCCATTTGTGGTGTCTCATAGCCTACCTCACGACCTTATGCTTTCTTTCTGTATCACTTGTATCTTGCAGGTATATCACCCCGTGACGACCACATCGAAGTCTGAAATTGAAGTGTGAAGATGCTTCAGCAACCCCTTCATATTTTTCCATTGCTTTTATTGTGCTTCTACTGTGCATGTGATGGCAATGTATGCCGGTGACACGGTCAGATTTTGTCCATGCGTGTAACGTACACCTGCATGCTATCGTTGAAAAGGATCTGCCACTTACGATCTTCGGACGAGTATCAGGTCAGCTTGGTTTTGTGTGGGCTGTACCAGATGCTGTTCACTCCTCTATCTGTTGGATATGTGACTTTCTGCAAGTTTCTGGTGTGTGGTGGCCACTTCTTTGCTTGTCTTTGTATGACATTACAATAATTCTGTATTCACTGCTTCCATGGTGTGGTCTGCAAACTGCAATCCTTAGGCAAATATCATCACGCTGCAATGTTGTGCTTTGGCCGCCAGCTTACCTACACATTGTAGTTGAATTATTTTTGTTTCACAACTGACTTCCTGAAGTATGGTGGCTACTGCTTTGCATGGCATTATACAATGTTCATCAAGAATTTCCTGTTTGGGTCGTGTGTGTGTGTGTGTGTGTGTGTGTGTGTGTGGGTGTGTGCATGGCTTCGCCAGTTGTGTGGATTAGACAGTTATCTGGCGCTTGTCTTGATCTGTTTCAATCAGAATCAGATCCGCTATCGTTGCTATAAAGAGAAAATCTGTGGGTGCACATCCAGTGCATTTGCAGATTTGCGTGCTTCTCTTGCGACGGGCGTATACATGGTACATTGTGTGTGTGTGTGTGTGTGTGTGTGTGTGTGTGTGTGTGTGTGTGTGTGTGTGTACTGTTTGGCTCCTTCTTGCAGCGTCGCCCAGCACATGGCCCACGCCGCAGATGGAAGGACTGTGCTGTCCGAGATCTACGTGCCCGTGGCGTGGAGGCATCATGGTATGATGTTGCATGTGAGTCTCGCGCGGAGTGGCGCAGCACCTACCAAGAGCCTGACAATGTGCCTGAGCCTCCGCCCCGAGTGGTATGTACGGTATGCGGACGGGATTTTGCACGGAAAGGAGACATGGCTCGGCATAAGTGTCTGGAGGAGCGTGCGCGGCCTGTGTCTGAGCAGCGGGGCGCCAGTCAGTGCGGGCGGTGTGGGCGGTGGCTGAGAAGCCGCGGTGGCTTGGTCCGGCATGTGTGTGCCTCAACGGTGGATGCCGCAGTGCCACCTGGAACTACCGGAGCGTCGGCACCGGCGGAGGGATGTTGTGCCGCGCATTGTGACAGGTGTGGTCGCTGCTTTCGCGGTGTCCGGGGACGGGAAGGCATCGCTGTTCAAGGGTGGCTCATAGACCAACAGCAGCGGAGCGCTCAGCCTTCCAGCACGTGTGCATATGCGGCAAGCGGATGCGACTACCCGTGCACCTGGAGCGTCATCGAGCGTCGTGTCCTCTCTCTCTCTCTTCTCAAGTTTCCCAGTGATGGGATCACGTGACCCTTTTGCGGCAGTGACTCTACAGGACAGGACAGGTGTGTGTGTGTGTGTGTGTGTGTGTGCGTGCGTGCCCGTGTGTGCCATGTGCATGTGCGTGTTTGTCACAATGTGTCTGTGTGCAGGGAGGGCTGGAATGTATCAGTGTGCTATGTAATGTTCCTGAGTGAACATCAAGTTAGTTCCCGCACTCCATAGATCAACTTCACTCCACAATTCCCAGACAACAACTAAAGTTTATTTACATAGAACAACGAAAGATAAAGATGCACAACCAGGATCCATATATGTACACAGTACAGGAATGCATATGGGTAACCGATCCCGGAACGGATCGGGTACAACAACGGGACCACAACATCTCCCTTTTTATGTTCGAAGAGAGAGAGGTTACAGAGGTAACAGCTCGAAGAATATTTAGTCATATACATACAGAGGAGATAGGGTAGAGACACACAAATACTACATGCAGTTCACGATCATCAGCGTCAGCGACTGGAGTGATCATAGCATGAGCAATGACTAATGCGTTTACAGGTCGAGTCTGTTCAGCGGCCGGGATGGACGTGCTGATCGGCGCAAGGTAGGCTGGAACTCGACATCAGCGGATGGAGGTTCTGCAGGTGTAGTGACATTCAACTGCGGTGTTGGTGTTGGTTGCACATCAGGTAGCAACTTGACGTGGCGACGGTTGCGGCGGTACTCGGACAGGTTGTCGGTCGTGACAATATAGGATCTGTCGGAGACGCGGTCTGCAATCACGGCTTCGGAAGCGAGATCTTGCACCCAGACTCGGTCGCCTTGGGTCAATGGTGGCAGAGATTGTGCTCGGTGTGACGAGTCGTACGTCTCACTCTGTCGGTCTTTCTGCCTCACCTCGAACTTCCTTAGCTTGGAAATATCAGGCCAACTTGGAGCGAGGGATTCCGCTGTACATGGGAGGTGTGTGCGTAGACGACAACCAAACAGGAGCTCGGCTGGCGAGTAGCCATTTGCGAGGGGTGTTGACCTGTAACTGAGTAGGGCATCGTTGAGGCTGTTGTTGGTCTTCAGGAGACGCTTGAATGTTCGAACCGCTCGCTCAGCTTCACCGTTGCTCTGTGGGTAGTGCGGGCTACTGGTGCGGTGGGTGAGCTGCATTTGGGCTGTGAATGCGGCGAATTCAGCACTTGCGAACTGTGGACCGTTGTCCGACACAAGGGCTTGAGGGATGCCATGGATGGCGAACAGCTCGTGGAGTTCCTTGATGACGGCTCCAGAGGTAGTCTTCCGTAGCGGGATGGCGTGAATGTACCTGGAGAAGTAGTCGACAGCAATGAGGTACTCCTGACCGTCATGTTGGCAGAGGTCGACTCCTATTCTCTCCCATGGCAAAGAGGGAAACACAGTTGGAGACAGAGGCTCTGGCGGCTGAAAACGATGCTTGGTGCAGGTCAGGCAGTTCTGCACGCATTCTGAAATGGCACGTGTGATACCTGGCCACCAGACGGAGGATTTCGCACGGGCCAGGCACTTGGTTATGCCTTGGTGGCCGTCATGCAAAGTGGCAAGTGTAGCTTTGCGCTCGGATGCCGGGACTACGATCCGAAATCCGTGGTACAGCAGACCGTCGTGAACTGAGAGCGAGCCACGTTTGTTGCGGTAGGCTTCCAGGTCGGCGTTGACCTTGGTCGGCCAGCCATGGAGGGTATGCTGGATTACTTGTTGCAGGACTGGATCGTCAGCAGTGGCTGTAACGAGAGCGTGTTGCTTGGTAGGACTGCATAGAGACGACAGGACAGCGGCGATGGTGGCTTCCGAGTCACTGTGTAGGTCGGATTCGGTTGCTGGCGTGTCAGGAAGAGGAGCTCTGGACAGCGTGTCGGCGAGAACCATGTTCTTGCCAGGCACGTACTCCGCCTGTACATCGTAGCGCATGAGTCTGATCAGTAGACGTTGGCAGCGTAGAGGTACTCGGTCGAGGTCACGCGTGTTCATTAGTGGGACCAGCGGCTTGTGGTCCGTCTGAATGGTAAATCGGGGCGCTCCGTAGAGGTATTGATGGAAGTGTTCACATCCCCAGACCGAGGCGAGGAGCTCTTTCTCGATCTGGGCATACCGTTTCTCTGCTGCTGTCATGGTGCTTGAGGCGTACGCGACCGGTTTCCACTCATTGTCGTGGAACTGTAGCAGTGCAGCACCCAATCCATAGCTGCTCGCATCAGCCGTGACGATGGTCGGTGCAGACGGGTCGTAGTACGCGAGACACGGGGCTGAGGCAGCTAGGCATTTGAGCTCTGTGAAAGCTAGCTCATGTGCTTTGGTCCATTGCCACGTCGCGTCGCACCGGAGTAGCTCGCGCAGTGGGGCGGCTACGGTCGACAATGACGGCAGAAACTTGGAGAGGTACGTGAAGAGTCCGAGTGCACGACGGAGCTCTTCCACATCAGCTGGTGCTGCGAGGCGCTCAATGGCATCCAGCTTAGCTGGGTCAGGGTGGACACCCTTGTCGCTGATCCGATGGCCCAGGTACTTTAGGGACGTGCATCTGAACTTAGACCTGTTCGGATTCAGTGTCAGACCGGCATCGCGGAGTCGGTTCTCGACGGCGAGCAGAGCAGCATCATGCTCAGCCATCGATGAAGCATAGACGATGATGTCGTCTATGAACACTGCTACGTTGGGAATATCGCTGAGTAGACCTTGTAGCCGGCGCTGGAATATCTCAGGCGCGCTCGTTATGCCGAAGGGAAGGCGCTCGAACTTGAAGCGGCCATAGGGAGTGATAAACGTCGTCAGCAACGACGCTTCCTCGGAGAGTGGGATCTGCCAGAAGCCAGACGTGGTGTCCAGCGTAGAGAATATGGTAGAACCGTTGAGTTGTGCGAGCGTGTCGTCCACGGTCGGTAACGGGTAGTGCTCTCTCTTGACGCTGGCATTCAGGCGCTTGAGGTCTACGCATACACGCACGTTGCCGTTCGGCTTGAGGACCGACACGAGGGGTGAACACCAGTCAGTCGGCCGCTCGACTTTTGTGATGACACCTGCTTTTTCCATACGCTCCAGCTCGGTGCGAACCTTGAGGCGAATGTGTATTGGAATGCGTCGAGCATTTACACAGTTGTATGGTTTGCAGTCTGGCTTCAACTCAATCTCGACTGGCTTGCCTAGCATGCATCCGATTTTCGGCTGGGCATCTGAAGAGCCAACATGAAGACGTTGTACTAGGCCCATCTGTTCAGATGTCTGCCTGCTCAACAAGTTGACACCACCGGTGGCAATGACCAGGATAGTGACTGGGTACTGTACATCACGGAACACAGCACAAGTGTGGAACTCACCCTGTATCGTGAGCTGGTTCCCATCAGGCCCAATCATACGTGTCTGGCACGGACTGAGTACTGGCGGTGCAGTTAAACCGTTGTAGCTGGCCTGCGTCATAATGTTGAGATCAGCTCCAGTGTCGATTTTGAAATCGAGGTGTGAGCCGCACAGATCCAGTCGTACTATCCACGGCTCGTCAGCGGTGTGGGTAGAAGCAGCTCCAAGGAAATTTTCGCCGACGGGGTCCGACTGCAAGTCAAACTCAGCTACATGCACATAATCGTTGTGTGCTGCACTGGCGGAGGCAGACCGGCAGACGCTGGCGAAGTGTCCAGACTTACGACACTTGTTACCAGACTTGTCCTTGGCAGGGCATTCGTCACGGTTCGATTTGTGGTCTTTGGAGGAGCCACACCACGAGCACTTCTTACTGTTGCTCGAGTCTCGTTGGGACTTGACCTGTGGTCGCTTTCCCGTCGATCCGTAACTTGCGTAAGCAGGGGACTTGCCGTGTTTCCGTTGCGGTGAGGTAGCTGCAGCAGCTTGGCTCACCCGGGGCGTTTAGGTAGGTACATTTTTATTTGAATTCGCAGAACCAAACGGGCGGTGTCACCCAATTACATGGAAGCGAATGGAAACAGTAAAATATTGTAGGAAACAGCCTAACATGATAGCAGGGTGTAGTACAAAGCAAAGAACGCTCAGTCAATGAATAACGTTAACGTTAGAATACAACAACGGGGAGGCGGTAAACAGCACATGACTGGTACTGTGCAAACGTTCAAAGATTCCTGTAGTGCTGGGCGACCTCGGCGTTTACGGACTCCGTTTTGCGTGCCAAGCTCACGGCAGTCTCGAGTGTCAGCTGAGCGTGATCCTCGAGCTGTAGCTTCTTCGAAACTTCTCGGTTCGTCATATGGGCCACCAACCTGTCGCGAATACGCTCATCTGACTTGTCAAACGCGCAATATTTGGCTGCGGCACGGAGACGACGCACATACTCTTCCACGGATTCACCTGGGTTCTGGACACACCTTTCAAACAATGTCCGTTGGTGGATTACGTTTACACCCGGGCGAAAATACTTGTCAAAGGCCTCCAGTACCTTGTCGAGTTTCTTCTTATCATCCGCGGACAGAGATAGAGACTCAAAGATAGGATCGGCTTCGGCTCCCATGGAGTAAACTAAAGTGTCTACTTGGCGTTGCCCGTCCGCCTCGTCCAATTTGGACAAAGAACTAAAGCGTTCAAAACGGGTCTTCCAGAGTGGCCATGCTTCTGGGGTGGAGAAATCGAACGGGGCAGGTACAGGAAATTTGGCAGACGACATGACTAACTGCTACTTCTGACACCATGTAATGTTCCTGAGTGAACATCAAGTTAGTTCCCGCACTCCATAGATCAACTTCACTCCACAAGTCCCAGACAACAACTAAAGTTTATTTACATAGAACAACGAAAGATAAAGATGCACAACCAGGATCCATATATGTACACAGTACAGGAATGCATATGGGTAACCGATCCCGGAACGGATCGGGTACAACAACGGGACCACAACATGCTACTGCAGTCGCATGGCTACATACAGTGGATCGCGCGTGTGCTCACCATGTTTATCTTCGGAGCAGGGCCGGTATGGGGGAGGGAACAGAAAAAGAACTGAAATTACCCATATAAAAACCGCTCTGTGAGCGGTTCTGAAAAACCTCTACTGGTGCAGCCCCGTCGTAAAAGTAAGAAATTAGAACTGGCGCATTGTCCTCCCAAATGTGAACTGATCCACCTAAATCGCGATTGACGGGACCCGAACGCACCAGTAGCACGAGGTCGGGAGGGCACAGGATCACAGCCGGCGTCGGCGCTGATCAAGTTACCATACAACACTTACAGTACGTAGACCTACCCCGAAGCCCACCTTTGGCTTTGCCGCTTTGGCTTTGGCTATGGACCAGCGTCCCCAGCTGCATCCACAGGTAGGAACCTCGTGCTACTGGTGCGTTCGGGTCCCGTCAATCGCGATTTAGGTGGATCAGTTCACATTTGGGAGGACAATGCGCCAGTTCTAATTTCTTACTTTTACGACGGGGCTGCACCAGTAGAGGTTTTTCAGAACCGCTCTCACAGAGCGGTTTTTATATGGGTAATACATAATATACCTCCGGATAGAGCGAAACTGAGCACCCTGGGACGCGAGCAGTTTTTAGTACTCCCGGGTCCAAAATCTCACCACCAGGCCGGGCTGATCAAAACGTCTGCCGGGTCTGCAGCCTACAAACGTGGATCTGCCGACACTGTGCTGTCGACGACATGTCCCGCAAGGTCCTTGCGCGTGAAAGCAAGGAACGCTTTTTTTTAGAAAGGAAGCTTCTTCCCCAAAATTTGAAAAAAAATTTAAATTATTCCTTCTGAAAATATCATCGCGCTCTTGACCTCGAAGCTGACTGCTGAATGCGATTAGGAAAGAAGATTCCTGAAGATGCACCAGACTGATTCTGGCAAGCCGTCTGTCGTCTGGATATGCACTGTTGTTCGTCATGGTCAGCAATCTTCTTCGTTCGTCCTTTCGTTTTCCTGACCACGATGATGACAAGCAGCTCTCATGCTCAGGTTAGTGCTACTTGTATGTCTGGGCACACAACACATCTGAGATGCACCCACTGACGTTATCGAACTGAAGAATGCAGCAAGGGTTCCTCGGATTCTCTTGATTTCGGAACAAATTTCCTTCACTTTCACCCTCTCAGTCTCTTCCCCATGCCCTCCATGCATGCACAATGGAGCTTGCATTTCAAATGTTGTTTTTATACTTTGGCAGTGCCTCTGCTACACTTTCATATAGAGTGAGGTCCTGTAAATAGGATCTAACATTGTTGGTGTGTGTGTGGGGGGGGGGGGTATGTTTGCAGCCAGGATGTAGGAATGACACTTCTGCGCAGCAGGTGGCAATAGTCAGAACTGGTCACTCTACAAATCCCATACCTGCCAACCTTTGCAAACCTGAGATCGAATGACATACCTGGGCATGAAAATGTATACAAATGTAGCTCGCGGTGAGGCATGGAACTAATGCACTTGTGGGTGCCTATTACCGCCCTCGATGTCGGGATGGTCGCGGCTAAATCGGGATGGTTGTCAGGTATGAAATCCCAACCGAGAAAACCATTTAATTAAAAGATAAACTCGGCTGGAACGCCGCTTTTCTGGGAATAGAAAATTTGTTGTGCCACTTTCGGCTAGTCCTTTTTGCAGAAGTGATTCAGTGCCTCCGCAATGCTGTATAAGGGCCAGGACATAGCAACTTTCTGTATGCGGGGGGGGGGGGGGGGGGCATCGTCTGCAACATTGGTAGAGTTACGGTTACATTGTATATTAAATACATGTGCATCAGGGATTCATAGCACCTGGGGAGACGACATGAGACCAAAGTACCCAAAACGTTGTGAGTTTTGATCCCACATTGGGTAGTTCTACGTGATCTGTGTTCTGTGCAGCTCTTAATCACAGGCTTGCTCTGTTAAACCCAAACGTCTAGATTAGCAATTCTATAGACCTTATTCGATAACATGATTTTTGGACTCGCCTCCAGGGATTTGTCGTAAGCTGGGGCACGCGTACGTGAAACAAGTGGCAAGAAAGGCCCAGTTCGTACAAGGGAGTAGTAAAATACCGGTATTTTTCTGTTCCTATGTTCCCACGACGAGTCCTCTGTGCACTGAGTGCAGGTCTCTTGCCGCTCCCTGGTCCCCGGTTCACGTGATCGTGACTGTTATCGAATAAGGTCTATATGCGGGCATGCATAAATTAACCCTTCCACAAGGACGGCTCAAACAGGCAGCCAAGGAGTGAAAATTTCGCTCCTGGGGCTAGAGGTGAAACGAAGGCCTCAATTTGCCAAATGAACCTTCTCCATCGAAACGAACGAAGGTGTCGAATAATTCTTTTACCAGTTCACAGTTCCTGATCACACGTACTCCCGGGGGGGGGGGGGGGGGGCTACTATGCACTTGTAGTGACACTTACCGTAAGCAAAGTTGCACCTATGGAAGCCAAGTGCACCACGACTAGTTGACTGTACTGTAGTCTGTACAGTATACATGCACATGTTTGCAGCGAACATCAGTGCATGGATGCCTGCCGTAATCGTATGTTGACCTTCGTTCAAATTGAAAAGAGAGGGTCGTTTCGAAAAAGAAAAAAAGCTCAATGGAAGTATGATGCTGCTGACAATTCAAGACTCACTGAAGTCGCCTTTCTGGAATGGATCATGCGCTCTAGGTTCATCCAATTGGATATGGACTCAATCATTGTTATACCATTCTTGTTTGGTTAGTTATTCTACATCCCATAGCATGTACAATCCAACTTGTGAATAATGTACCTCGGGTTTACAAAACAACTCGCAAATAACAATCTTCAGATCTAGTGACCATTTTAGTGCATACTTCCAACCTCACGAGTAACAACAATACACCAATAGCGACACTTTTTTCATTCACAATCGAGGGTCAGTATTCCCCAGGTTGACTGCAATTGCCAATCAAACAGGAGGGGCGAAAGTCGACCACGGCTGAAAAGGCGTAAAGAAAATGTATGTCATGAGCTAGATGGCAGAAGGAGGAAGTAGGTTTTCTGAGAAAGCAAGAAACAGAGGTGAATGAAGCACCAGGTCTGTCCATGCAGTGGATAGAATTATTGTACTGAAAGACAGGCTCTTTACGTCAGCTTGCTACTATTATACCTACATTTATTATTATTATTATGACGGATAACCCAAAGGCAATGGTTTGCTTTCTGCCTTTTTCATGCAGGATTCTGAAAGCTGGAGCAGCTCTGCTTACCTCGACCACTGAACTTACAACTAACTTCCAACCAAGTTCAAGGCAGTATTATGATGAATCAAGCACGCTTGCCATCATTTCATCATTGCAAAGTACATCGACAATAATTATAGATTTGGTGCTGACTATGTATGATGCAGAGTGTGCTCTATGTATCTATACTACTGATTGGCCTACATTGTACTTATGTGGGCTGAGAGTAATCGATTGTGCTGTATGGCAGTTTACTTGCATGTCATAGATGTTCACATTGCACACAGCTACTGAATTGCTTTC